CACCTCACACACACCTCCCACACACCTCCCACACACACCTCCCACACACCTCACACACACCTCACACACACCTCCCACACACCTCACACACACCTCACACACACCTCCCACTCACCTCACACACACCTCCCACACACCTCACACACACCTCCCACACACCTCACACACCTCACACACAGCTCACACACACCTCCCACACACCTCACACACACCTCCCACACAGCTCACACACACCTCACACTCACCTCCCACACACCTCCCACTCACCTCCCACACACCTCCCACTCACCTCCCACTCACCTCCCACTCACCTCCCACACAGCTCACACACACCTCCCACACACCTCCCACACACCTCCCACACACCTCCCACACACCTCACACACACCTCCCACTCACCTCACACACAGCTCACACTCACCTCCCACTCACCTCCCACACACCTCCCACTCACCTCCCACACACCTCCCACACACCTCCCACTCACCTCCCACTCACCTCCCACACAGCTCACACACAGCTCACACACACCTCACACACACCTCCCACTCACCTCCCACTCACCTCACACACACCTCCCACTCACCTCCCACACACCTCCCACTCACCTCCCACTCACCTCACACACACCTCCCACACACCTCCCACTCACCTCCCACACACCTCCCACACACCTCCCACCTCCCACTCACCTCCCACTCACCTCACACACACCTCCCACTCACCTCCCACTCACCTCACACACACCTCCCACACACCTCCCACTCACCTCCCACACACCTCCCACTCACCTCCCACTCACCTCCCACACAGCTCACACACACCTCACACACACCTCACACACACCTCCCACTCACCTCCCACACACCTCACACACACCTCCCACACACCTCACACACACCTCCCACTCACCTCACACACACCTCCCACACAGCTCACACACACCTCACACACACCTCCCCAGCTCACCACCTCACACACACCTCCCACACCTCACACACACCTCCCACACACACCTCACACACACCTCCCACACACCTCCCACACACCTCACACACACCTCCCACACACCTCACACTCACCTCCCACACACCTCCCACACACCTCACACACACCTCCCACTCACCTCACACACACCTCCCACACACCTCACACACACCTCCCACACACCTCACACACCTCACACACAGCTCACACACACCTCCCACACACCTCACACACACCTCCCACACAGCTCACACACACCTCACACACACCTCACACACACCTCACACACACCTCACACACACCTCACACACACCTCACACACAGCTCACACACACCTCCCACACAGCTCACACACACCTCCCACACACCTCCCACACAGCTCACACACACCTCCCACACACCTCCCACACACCTCACACACACAGCTCACACTCACCTCACACACACCTCACACACAGCTCACACTCACCTCACACACACCTCACACACACCTCACACACACCTCACACACACCTTCACAATGTGCTGCACTACATTTCCCAATGATCCGTATTTCTGTGCTGGATTATCACAAAGATACAGAAACAGATGTAGAAACATCCAATTTCACGCGCGGATGAGTTTGTGGACCCCAGAGGGTTAAACCTGAACGGGTGGAGTTTTCTGAAACTAGGGAGGGTGTCGTTACGCTTTAAAGGCAGATGCTCGCTTTTGCTGCTCAGTTGATGTAACAGACTGTGTGTGTGTGTGTGTGTGTGTGTGTGTGTATCAGGTGGTCAGAGTGTGTGTGTTAGACAGCAGGACACTGCAGGACACACTGCCTCTCCTCTGGAATCTACAGAGTTCTCGCGCACCATCACCTGTCAGGGTTCTGTCATAAAGTACAGGACAGACGGATCGACTGAGGTACACGCCCACAATGACACACACAGACACTCACTCAAACACACCTGCACAGCTGTACAGAAACTCTTTGGGCACCCCTGGGCAAACTATGTATTTTGTATTAGGCCTTAATTGACTCGTTAAGACTGGTTAGGCAGGTCAAGAAGCTTCATTAGGGACTGTCAGCCCATGAGAATCCAGAACGTAATCAGTTCTCTGACTCGTCAAACCTTGTGCTCATGAGCTCCTCTAAACAGCTGGCTGAGGATCTGAAAATGAAGCTCTTTGATGCCTACAAAGCAGGAGAAAGTTCTAAAGAAGATTCTCACTGTCTGACTGAAGTGTCTGAAATGGCAGTTAACGGGATCTGTGGACGCCAAGGCAAAATCTGGACAAAGAATATCGCAGAACCAGAATCATTCTGCAGGGAAGAGAGGGTTAAAATTCCTGAAACAAGAAGAGAAAGAAGAGTGAAACAGAAAGGTACAGAAAGTCCTTGATAGCTGTGATACCTGTCTAAAAGGGGTTACTGAGTTAAATGCCACAACTATTTTATTTCATTTTAAATCAGTCAAGTATAAAGTAACTGTGCTTCGACATTTGCAACATTTCTTAATAAACTTTTCACTTCAAGAATCAACAAAATAAGGAATTTGGCTTTGGGTGCCCAAAATTTCTCCTACAACTGTATTTACACACAAAGTCAAACCCATAGTCACACATAAGCACATAAGCACCCAGAAAACCTGACGTTTTCTCTTTAAGTGTGTTAATTCTGCTCTTGTGGGTCACAGTATACATGTTCAAACTACATCCTGTCAGTATCTTTACAGTGTTCACTAAAAGGCTCATATATTTTGCCAAAATTCTCCTTTTTCAGTGTAAACTGGGTCCTTATCTTGGGTAGTGTGTATAAACAGTATCCTCACCAATCAAGGCTGCTCACACTTCTTTAAAACAACTGTGACCACTATAGCCTGTGTCCAGGTCAGAGAGGCTTAGAGAAAGAAAGCTGACCACCAAGTGAAAGCTGACCTCCCTAGCGTAACTGAGCTATGAGGAACGTCCGTTTGTCTGTTCTCACTGGAAAAATATATATATTTGAAATACATTAAATGAATTGCTATCCATTCCAAAATACACCCCAAACACTAAAATGTATTTCAGAATATTTTACCATATAAACCAAACATACTTTAAAATGCATTTATTTTAAATGTAAGTGGAAATTTTACACACAGACAAAAATAACTGTGTGTAAATATGTTTATCAAATCCATCTGAAAACGTGTGAAAATATCCAGAATCCTGTCTGATGCTCTTCACTGTCTGATACCTTTAGAGATGAATTTGTGTTCCAGTATCTTCATTTTAAATCTGATCTAATGATCCTTTAACAGGACAGAAGCGAGTGTTGTGGGTATTGATACTCTGTGAAAATGCAGTTATGATCTGATATCTTGTTTATGTGAAATACATTGTGTGTGAGAGTCTGACTGCAGACGGACATGGTTAATGTAAAGTACAGTGCAGATCACAGAAGAACGTTTAGTTACATCTGGAACCTTCATTACACTCAACTGAACACAGATAATAACTAATACTGATAAATGAGTTTTAAACATATTTAACAAATACAGTTTTTGGCTTTTTTCATACACTGTAAAAATTTATTTGATAAAAACATTTGAAATATATTTTTCCATATGGGTTTGTTAGTTCAGCTTCCACTCCAGCGTTCTTTGGATGCAGATCCAGCAGTGAAGTTAATAAGAACCTTTTATTTATTTAAGGTGGGATAAAGTAGTTTTCGTTAATGGAAGTCTTACTCAGAAGAGGCGAGCTGGCTTCATGCTGATTGGTGGGGTTACTTGTTAGCTTAGCCTCATTCGTAGGTCCAGTGTGAAAGTGAAGAAGTGAACTTGTGTGTTTGTGTGTTGTAGGTGCTGTTTGCGGACGGTACGGTCAGTAAGAGTCCAGACTCTCGGCCAGTCTGCATGCTGGTCCCCAGCAGCCCTGCGCAGGAGGAGGAGCCTGTTAAAGACACGCCCACAGAGAACAAAGACATCAAAGGCAAAGGTAAAGACACAGTAACACAACAACAAACACACACAACTACAGTTATACACAACAGCACTACTTATATGCTTGAACATGTTTGAACACCTCAGGTCAAATGACTTTCTCTTGATTTTCTAAGTGAAAATAAGGCATTTTCTACAGGCGACACACCGAAATGTGGCATTTTCTCATGTTTTACTGCGCAAAAAATAAAAGACCACATTTTACACTGCAAAAAATTGTATCTCATCAACTGAAATGATCTTAAATCTAGAAGATAAAACTTATAAGATTATTTACTTATTTACAGACTTTTACTTATTTTAAGGGATTTTAGTGAGTCAAACTTTCTCACTATGTTACCAAATAATTGTGCTGGTAAGAATTGTAAAAAATGAGCTTGAAACCAGCAAATTATCTGGCAGTACAGTGAGATAATTTAACTCACTAAAATCACTTAATACATGTAAAAAAGTGTAAACTACAGAGTCATTCAGAGTGTTTTCACGTAAAAAGGTTCATTGTAGAGAAATCTACTATCTTAGATGTCTTTACAGTGGTGGTGATAGGAACCAGGGGTCGCCATGACTACAACACAGATATAGACATTTTATTTACTATCCAGAACCACCAGTGAACCTACACGAGTCTTCTGAGTTTATATGGAATGTTGATGATGGAAAATAGTGGAAAATCTGAAATAATAAGTTTTCTTTGGGGACTATTTTGCCTCACAGCGCCCTGCATGTATCCCTCCACCATGAATGGAGTTTAAGTTCTCTAAACTATCATAAAACAGTGTCTCAGTCATCAGGCAGTGAATTCATAACCATTTCATGTAGTAACTTTCTGTGAGGGAGCTTTTAGAGGTGGACGTCTGGTTCCTATCACCACCACTGTGAACAGCTCTGAACCGCTCTGTTCACATCTTAAATGCTGAATTGTACAGAAATTTTGAAAAATCAGTGGAATTCCCCTTTAGCTTATTTACATTTAGAAATCAACACATACATGTAGTTTGACCAGGGGTGCACAAACTTTTGCACTTCAGCAGAGAGACAGAAACAGACTCAGTGAGATTTGGGAGTCAGTGATTTGCTCTCCTCCTCAGGGAAGCTCAGCTCTAAGCCGGCTGTGGGAGGAGAAGAAGTGTTGGCGCCCCCGCTGACAGAGGAGGGTAGCAGGGCTCTGGAGGTGACAGGGGGCTCCTGGACCACCACCACCCCCTCCGGCTTCAGAGTGGCCTCCGTCGGGGGCAGAAGGGTGGAGGTACAGCCCATCAGGACCTTCCACTCCACTGACCCCTTCAGCCAGAGCGTGAGTGCTGAGTCTCCACAGGTCACTCTGAAACACACTGTTTCAGATCAGCCCCCAGTTCTGACCTTAGACTGTAAACATGATCTCTCTGCACAACATCTTAATGCAGTCAGTACATCTCAGATTGACCACAATGAGGTTGCTGCACTGCAAAAAATGGTCTCTTGTCACGTGAAATGATCTTAAATCTCATCAATATATCTAATATTTCCCATTTCGAGATGTTGTGCACTTATCATAAGATTGTTTAGCTTATTTCCAGAATTTTAGATCATTTTATGAAGTAAAATTATCTCTCTATACTGGCAGATAATTTTGCTGGTTTCAGGTTCATTTCTTACAACAAGCACAGTAATCTGCCAACATAGTGAGATAATTTTAAAGGTAAATAATCTTAAATTAAGCTTACAACAATCTCAACAGGAGAAATATTAGATTTATTGACTATATTGAAGATACTTTTACTTAACAAGACACCATTTTTTGCAGCGTGTAAAATATTTTTTAAGATTATTGAACTTATTTCTGGACATTTTTTCTTGTTTTAAGTCATTTTATCTGGTGAAAGTGTTTTATTCCATTGGCAGATTATTTACTGGTTTTGAGAAATTATGCAGGTAGTTTTGGTTAATTGAAGCAACAATGTTTAAAACTACAAAGACTTGATAATTCGATACGTTTGGAATACATATTTTTCCCCTGTGGGATGGTTCAAGATACATAGGCCTATGGATCAGATGACCTACAGTCCAGTGTGTAGAGGTCAGAGCAGTGAGGGGATCTAAACAGCTCAGGTGTGTCTGTATTACTGGACTGAATGGCAGTGAATGGAGAGCTTCTCTCAGATGATCCTGTCGTGCCCCAGCAGTTCACTTCTGGTGGTACGCGCTGCAAGGCTGAAGCTGGGGGCCTGTTTTGTAGAGGTAGATGAAGGGGAGGGGGCGGGGCTACTGCTCCTCAGGTGAGAGAGTGAATGGGGAGAGTTTAATGAGAAGCACAGTAGTCAAACAGAAAGTGAGGTTAAATTTCTGAGAAGCTCCTCTGGATCTCCTGAGTCTGAGCAGCGAAATCAAAGTGTCCTTTCATTTCCTGGTGGGTGAAGCGTGTTGGGTCACTGACACGGAATAAAAATGTTTATTTATTTTATTTATTTCTAAACAAGTTTAGTGAAAATGAATTCATTTTATTATTTTATTTTAGTTTTTCTTCCCAACAACCTTATTTTATTTAATTTATTTTTTATTTTATTTTATCTCAATTTATCTCAATTCTGTTTTTATTAATTTATTTTTATTACCTTTTATAATCCTTTTATTGACCATTTTAAATTTTAGTTTGCCTATTTATCCTTTTATGTTGAAATCGTGTTAATTGATTTGTTATCTTGTTTTTATTTTTTATATTTTCTCCTTTTTAATTAAATCTTGATTGTTCTCGTAATTCTTTTGCTGTGTGTCTTGACTGTTCTGTTGATTTGTTTATGTAGTTTTGTTCACTTTAGTTTAATCTGATTAAATTCCATTTTCTTTTCTTTTTCAGTCCCTTTAATGTTGTAAATACTCAGCTGAAAATGAGGGTCACCCTCGCTGTGTTTCTGAGTGGAAATAAAGGTTGATTGATTGATTGATGATCAATTTATGAATATATCATGAACTCAAAGACTGAAAGTAGTAAATAACTTCAAAGACAAGATCCTTAATCTCATATTTCCAGATTTGGGAGTTTGAATGTTGGAGAGCGCCTGCAGTTCAGTGATGATTGTTTGGTCTGAGGCTGGCAGTTCAAAGCTGTACATGTTGTGCAGCTTGTGTCACATCTGTGTGTCACATCTGTGTGTCACATATGTGTGTCACATCTGTGTGTCACATCTGTGTGTCACATCTGTGTGCCCTAACACAGCGTGGTGGATGAGTCAGTGTTTATGTTTGTGGGTTGTGTTGTTGCCGTGGCAACCGCTGCTCTGAAATGGCTTTAAAACTCTCTGATTGTTCTTGTTGTGCTGTTCCAGATTGTGATCTCGAGGGAAGACCACGTTCTGTCTGTGCTGGAGAAGGACGGGGCGGCCGTGGTCGACCATGCGGACGGAACCAGAATTACCACCTTCTACCAGCAGAGGGAGCCACTGCCACAGCACAGCTCAGGTCAGGAGAACGGGAACGTTCTTCAGTGCTTAAAAAATCCCACAGAAGGGTTCTTTGAGTGAGTAGAACTGTGTTCTCTGCAGTGATGGAGCTCCATCCAGTACCTTTG